GATTGAAGTCACTTCCACCGACGTCAAACAGTGCAAAAAAAAACACGCTGAATAACATCCTCGTACATGTCACGAAAATATCGCCCAATTCCTTATCGAGGTTTTCAGTGATAGGCCTGCAAATCCCGATGTCAACCTCTAGATAGTTCTAAACGTCAGCACCTACTAAACTCACTTTCCTTGGGTAACCCTGATCAGTGCTCTACCTAACGTGTTAGTACCTATTAACACAACCTCGAAGTAAGAAACCTTGTGACTGGATAGTGTACTAAGACAAGGATTATATTTTAAATGTCACATATTGAGTGTCAAATTTAATAGATAGGAAAATTGTACAACTCACCTTATAACTGGGTCAGATAGCAAGCCCAACAGTGTGCCCCATGATAACACAATGAGGGGCGAGCAGTCGAAAAGCGATATAGGCAGATTTTTATTGGCTGTTGGCTAACTGGCTTCTTATTGGTCTAAAATATAAATTAAGCGGTAATTTGTTATTTTGACACGGAAATTTACAGGCAGTTTAATTGAACGTACTTTACCATAATATAATCACGTGTTAATTTTATGGGTGTGAGTGTAGTGTGATGATTCACAGGCTATTTGGATGCATTAGTGGTACATAAAGGTACATTAAGATATCTGAAATTGTATATTAAGTCAATATAAATCAACAGTACATATATTGATACATTTATTTTAAGTCTAAAATAGGATATGTGCATTTTTGCCTACTAGACGAACATGACTCATTGAGATGTCTGAGAATGTTAAGTAAGTGAATATGAGACAACGGTAATTTTGATACACATTTTAAGTCTGAAATAGGATGTGTGCATTTTCGCTTACTAGAAGAATGTGATTCAACCGCAATTTCTAGACACTTAATGAGTATTAATAATAATAATAATGGCTTTATTCCAAACAGTATTTGTGGTACAGGTATGGAATTTTCAGCGTTTAATTAGCACACCTTTTAAGTTGTCAGTTCAGTGGCCTGTCATATGTGCTTTATAGGTAAGTATAAATCAGCTAAATTTACTAGGTCACAACAGTGGTATATAAGCACTGAAATATATACTATAGTTCATTTACTTGAAATCATTGTGTTGTGTTCGTTAGGAAACCACTAAATGATGTTGTCAAATACTCCTACTGCCTCTACTTCACGTAATGTGTCATCTCTATTGTGTGATGTAACAGCTACATTCGGAAGAATAATGCTCTGCTGCGTATTTTATACGTGGGTACAGTTTAAGGAAGCTTTTAACGATTTTATGAAGGTACTAACTAAGTTGTTCATTATTTATTTGAAAGGAATCCAACACATCTTATCGGGTTGATTCAAGTAAAAAGGATTCATCCGATCCTATGGAATATAAGTTTGTGAGATTTAAATGCACTTTTGGATGTATACGTGCTCCCCGAGGGGCTGGCTTTAGGAACAGAGGGTAAGTCGACTGTGCTTGTAAATTTTGAAAATTTTAAGGTTCAAAAGTACTTCATGTGAGTCAACAATTATGGTACGGCGTACATCCGACGGATACAAAATAACAAATTACCAAACTGTGCATAACCATCCATGCACAGCAAGTTTCATGTCCACCGATGTATCTAGACGTCGGCTATCATCTGAACAAATGACAGTTGTACAACCCTTCATTGAAAGGAACACTGATGTCCATGAAGTCATGGATTTTGCGCATGAGAAATTCAGCAAAGTGCTCCTGTATAATGATATTAAAAACATGCGAGCTATGATGAATAAACGTAAGTCGTATCAAAATAAATGGGACAGTAGAGTAGAAATCGGTAGTTTAGAAGACCTTCTTCATCGACTGAGGCAGACAGGTCCAGTTAGTGTTCTGCAGGACAATGCAGACTTTGTATCGAAAATTATTTTCGCGCGTAATGATATGATAGACCTCTATCATAAGTTTCCAGAAGTAGTTGGAATTGATTCTACCTATAAAACGAATAAGATGGGGTAAGTTGCAGTACAAAAGGGTCTAATTCCTTCCCCAAATTTATTACAGATGGCCTTTATATCAGTTTGTTGTGACTGATGGATTCGGAAGAGGAAGGACTGTTTTGTTTGCTGTTACTAGGAGGGAACGGTTTGCAGATATGAAGGAGATATTGCAAACGTTTAAGGGATTTATGGGTGATATATCGAAAACACAAACATTCACTGTCGACTGTGCAACTGCACAGATCAAAGCTATAAAGGAGGAATTCCCCAGGTGCAGCATTATTTTATGTCTTTTCCATGTATGCCAGGCATTCAGAAGGAGGGTAAGTTTCATTCCCATTAACTAACATAGCGAAAACAGTTCCCAAATCAACGTGTTAAAAATGGTTGTATCGAATGGCGCACACGCGCAGTTATGACAGGTAGGTTAACAAATCACAATTTATTGCCGAAGGTTTTGGAATTACCTCAACCTCATAAGTATTATAGACGCCGAGGCTGGTGCTTACGTTAGAAGGTACTGGCTAAGGACACGGAAATATTGGGCCGCATCATGCAACCGGTTCACCATCAGTATGGGGAACAATACTAACAACAGAGTGGAGAACGCTCATAGGCAGTTGAAAAGGTATTTACGTAAAGGTGATCCGCTGGAATTGACACTATGGAAAATATGGAGGTGGATTGACCACACAACCATACGTAAAATACATCAAGGCCAGTGGATGCTTCGTAAATACTACAATTACGATGTAAGTTTCAAGATAATTTACGATTTCTCCTAGGTGCAAACTTCACTGCAGTCTAAATTACGGTGTCTCACTCCGTTTGCTGCCCAGAAAGTTGTCTTAGACTTGCAAAGGCGCATGTTCTTCTTTCTTTCAATATCTTCCACCGCAGTCAATTACGCAGAAGGAAGTCACATCTTCTTCGTAAACAGAAATGAGGCGAAATGCACATGTTGGACATACTGTGCATACAATTTGCCATGTGCACATGTCGTTGAGGCGTTCTTAAACTCATATCTAAACTGTGGTATGTTCCATTTCTTTAAATGTTACTCTTAGATATTCTGAGAAATAGTGAGAGGTGGATACGTCTATATAACACAGAGGACAACATTCCGCGAGCCATCCGCATAGCACCTGAACCAAACAACGCGTTCCGAAATGCTTATGAACGTCTCAGATGTCGTCTCATCCGTCTGAACCAAAGAAATCCAAATGGTACACTGCAGAAAATAGACGAGGTCATTAGAAATTTAGACGATATGCTAACAAATGATCCACAAACAACTTTAAGATTACGGCGTGCCCCTGTTAATCGATTATTCTTGTGAAAATGTTTGTACTAACTTATTGTTTCCATTTGTATCCATAATAAAAACATGTATATCTACAATGCTGTTACACTTTCTTTCCCTTCAAATGCCTGAGAGCGACAGTCTAAAGCATACTTCGGTTGTTTGTTTCGTGATGACAGCGCTTTACAGTCAGCTATAAATTACACCGATCTGAGCCTTATTCACTACGTTTTTCAGCCGAGCATTTCTGGTTCTAAGCATATCCTGAATAATGTTGATTAATACGATTTATCACTTAGACCACAGCACCACCAAGCTTACAACAATTCTAAACTTATTCTAACCTATTCCTCGATAATGCCTTTTTACGGTCTTATTTACCTACCGTGTTCTGAAATGGCACTGGTTGTGCTTAATAAGAACTGCGTGCCGAATTGAATCTTTTCGCTCTGAAGTAACGGCATTCAATGCTTAATATGTCTTGTCAGGCTGAAAAAACGCTAATAAGCAAACCCAGTAGGTTTGATTTAGTGCCAGTCATGCTGGAAAACCAGCGCACAGTTTCATGTCAAACAATGGCGAACAGTTAGGGAGTTTACTTATTAAATAATGTTAGTATATTAGAATAGTATACGTGAAATGGCTCAATGATTGCAGATTTGCCATAATCTTTAACTACCAACATAATAACTGGGAAATTCAGGCTAAATATAAGCTTAATAGAAGCATCCAGTGACGAAAACCGACCCAGACACTGCAAAATGCGTAAAACATTCAAAAAACCTTTAAAATTCAATGGAAAACGAATTCACGGAAACACATAACCAGCCGACGCAGGAACTCATCATGACCTTGAAACTGACTATAGCCTCTTTCCGAGGATTTGCGTAGACAACGCATATTGGAGAACCTAGAACTGCTGAAGATATTCACTAGTTTGTGTACATTTTAATTCTTCTTATCTTCTTTGTAGAAATATCACCTGCAGATGCCGAGAAGGTCAAGTAAATGTATGGTTTTAAGAGGGTAAGAGAGGCGTGATGGTGAGTGTTTCGATTTTACTGCGTAGATTTGTCCAGCGTGTGGTAAACTTGTGAATACGCATATGCTTCCCTCGCATCTTGTGTATAAAATTGTCAAAGTATGCCCGACGGTTTTGACAGCTGGGTAGCATAAGTTAGTAGGTCGTGTGTCATCATGTATATCCCTACTGTGCATATAATGACACACACACACACACTTCGCTAATGTTATGTCATCGGATATTCTCTAACGATGTTTTGTACGCGTATTATGGTGTTATTCCGAGTGATTTATGGAACGCTTGTCTTGGTTTTAACTTGGACACTTTTTACAACTCTTAGAGATATGGGAACCGAAAGCCATCTGTTCGGATTCAGGATGGTAATGAAGTGTACGGGTATTCGAGCCTGTGTTAACACTTTCCCACAGTGTATCTGTGTCTCCCACTCATCCACTCAATTAGTCAGTTGATGACACAGCCATTACTTGTTTTGGGAGTCAGTTTTGAGTGTTAATGTCTCGGTGGGAGAAGCAGTATTCCACAGCTTTATAGTTCGTTCCTGGTTGTTGAAAATCTACGTTATGTCCTCTTGGATATCTCCACTGGATGGGAGGGCAAAGAAAGGAGAAGTCAGGCATATATCGACGTTTTAAACATTGTGATTAGATCCCCTCTCTGTCTGTGGTACCACTTGGAGATAAGATTGACTAGTTGGTGTCAGTGCCCTCAACTCTTTCCCAGACAACCTCTTTAGCCAACGTTGCTCAATCAGCAAGACGATAGCTTCGTATACGTAAGACATGTCCGGGCCATTTCAATCGATGCAGTTTTAGATTCAGATTCAGATTATAAGGATAGAAGGCTCTTGTTGCCTATGTTAATCCTCGCGATATATATCTCTGCAGAGATCCAGTTTCTCTTTGAAAGCGTTCACCGATGGAGCTGCTACAACTGAATCAGGTAAGGAGTTCCAGTCGTTGACCACTCTGTGAGAGAATCTAAACTCCAAACGTATTTTATTCGACCTTGGTTTGAGCACCTTCTTCTGGTGACCCCGTAAATTTATTCTAGAGGGAGAGAAAAGGTTTGAAAGGTCAATCCCTAATTCACCCTTGAATATACGGTAAGCCAAAATTAAATCGCCTCTCCTCCTTCGATATGATAATGGGAAGAGATTTAAATGCTCCATCCTCTTATCATAAGGAAGGTGTGAGATGCCATTAACTAATTTTGTTCCTACCCTCTGTACTCTTTCCAGGGTATGCGCCTCCTTTTTGAAGCATGGACTCGCCACTTGTATGCAGTACTCTAGATGAGGCCTGACATATGTTGCATAGAGTACTTGGAACATACCCTCGTCTAATCGTTTGAAAGATCTTCGAAGTGCCCATAGCATTCGAAAAGCCTTAGCTGCGGCTCGATTACAGTTCGCCGTTGTTTTTAAGTCATGGCTAACAATAATTCCCAAGTCCTTTTGTTCCCTAACATCTGGCAGTTCTGTGTCCCCCATGGAGTACGACGTGTAAGACTTCTGACCTAGGTGCATTACTGCGCTTTTCTTGGAATTAATTTCCAGACTCCAAAGGTTAGCCCATTCGGTTAATTTGTCTAGATCGTTTTGTAGTACCAACCTATCATCGCTACTATTTACGGTTTTCCATATCTTAATATCGTCCGCAAATAGTAAGGAAGATGAGGTAAGAATTTTCGGCACTTCATTTACGTATAATAAGAATAGCAGGGGGCCCAGTACCGTTCCCTGAGATACTCCACTTAGTACTGCTTTCCACCCTGACAGTACACCATTAACCCTTACCTTCTGTCTCCTATCCATCAGGTAGTCACTAAACCACTCGCATAAGCGTTGGTCTAATCCAAAATGTTTAAGTTTACTAAGAAGACCTAAGTGGGATACCTTATCGAATGCTTTACTAAGATCGATAAATACAACGTCCAGTAGATGGTTTTTATCCCTGGCCTCGACCCAATCTTCCCTAGCTAACAGTAAGTTTGTCAAGCAGGATCGTCCTGGTCGGAATCCATGCTGTTCCACTGCCAGTAAGCCATGTTTTTCCGTATGAGCTAAGAGCTGGTCCCTTATGAGTTTTTCTAACACCTTTGCTATAATGCAGGTCAGACTTACAGGCCGGTAGTTAGATACTAACTGTCTATTCCCATCTTTGAAGATGGGGCTTATAAAAGCATCTTTCCAGTCTCTGGGTAACCTAGCCTGGGTCAGAGACATCTGAAAAATCTCCGTAAGTGGAATGTATATTATATCCGCCAGGGAGCTTAGCAATCTAGGGTGAAGTCCGTCTGGTCCAGGTGATTTACCTGGCTTCAACTTAGACAGTAGTTTCAGAACCATTACATCATCTACCACAATTGGGGGCATTTTAGGGGCTACACCAGTTACCTCGTTACACCCCTGGGTGGTACGATTAGACGAAAAAACATCACAGAAATATTCGGAGAGCACCTCAGCTTTTGTTTCGTCCGATTCTGCAGCCTCTCCTGTGTTGCTAATGAGGGACGGTATGCCACTACTAGTTTTAGTCCTACGTTTGATATACGAGAACAGTCTTTTTGGATAATGCACACAATCCAGTACTAACTGTCTCTCATACTCTATACGACTTTTGTCAATCTCAAACTTGCAAAGGTTTCGAACTTTGCGGTATTCTACCCGAAACTCATTCCTTCCAGTCACAGCAAACCGGTCCCATAAGTTCTTTCGTTTTCTTAGTAACCTCCTTATTTCATTACTAATCCAAGGTGGTTTATGAGATAATTTTCGAGGCGTAGACCAAGGTACAAAGGGTGCAGTGACGCACTCTAGTGTATCCCTAAATCCCATCCAAGCCTCATCGACAGTCTGGTGTGTGTTAACAGACCAGTTAGCTAGCGTTGCTGCATTTCGGATTGCGAGCGGCTGTTGACCTATGTATGACGGCCTGGATCCTGAACATAAAAGTAATAACTATGTGGTCACTACTGCCTAGCGGCGCCAGGCACCTAATGTTACCAACATCC